TTTATTTTTTTGGCCGCACTGCACAGCTTTTGGGATCTTAGTTCCCCGACCAGGGATCGAACCCAGGCCTTGGCAGTGAAAGCGCCAAGTCCTAACCACTGGACCGCCAGGGAATTCCCTTAATGTTGATATTTAGATCTCTTCCAATGAAACGCAAACATTCTTAATGGCATCTAGGATGGTGAATCCTTTCCAGGAGGTTTTCAACTAACTGACTTTGCCCAGATCCATCAGAGGAATCACTATATATGGCAGCTACAGCCTTACAAAATGTATTTCTTAAATAATAAGACTTGAAAGTCGAAGAGACTCCTTGTTCCATGGGTGGCAGAATGGATGTGTTAGTAGGCATGAAAACATTAGTCTCGTTGTGCATCTACCTCAGAGCTCTTGGATGACCAAGTGCATTGCCAATGAGCAGTAATATTTTAAAAGGAATCTTCTTTTCTAAGCAGTAGGTCACAACAGCGGGTTTAAAATATTCAGTAAACTGTTATAAACAGATACGCTGTCATCCAGGTTTTGCTGTTCCACTTATACAGCACAGGCAGAGTTGGTTTAGCCTAACTCTTGAGGGACCTAGGATCTTCCGAATGGTAAATGAGCACTGATTTCAATTTAAGTCACCAGCTGCATTAGTCCCCAACAAGAGAGTGGGTTTGTCTTTTGAAGCCTGGAAGTCAGACATTGACTTCTCCTCCCTAGATATGAAAGCCCTAGATGGCATCTTCTTCCAGTAGAAGGCTGTTTCATCTACACTGAAAATCTGGTGTTCCGTGTAGCCACCTTCATGAGGTATCTTAGCTAGATCTTTGGGATAACTTGCTGCAGCTCCTACATCAGCACTTGCTGCTTCACCTTGCCCTTTGATGTTATGGAGATGGCACCTTTTCTTAAAGCTCATGAACCAGCCTCCGCTGGCTTCAAACTTCTCTTCTGCAGCTTCCTCACCTCTCTCAGCCTTCACAGAATTGAACAGAGTTACGACCTTGCTCTGGATTAGGCTTTGGCTTAAGGGAATGTTGTGTCTGGTTTGATCTTCTAACCAGACCACTAAAACTTCTCCATATCAGCAATAAGACTGTTTCCCATTCTTATCATTTGGGTGTTAAACGGAACAGTACTTTTAATTTCCTTCAAGAACTTTTCCTTTGCATTCACACCTTGGCTGTTTGGCGCAAGAGGGCTCACTTTCAGCCTTCCCCGGCTTTCAACATGCCTTCCTCACTAAGCTTGATCATTTCTAGCTTTCGATTTAAAATGAGAGACATGTGACTCTTCCTTTCACTTGAACACTTAAGAGACCAGTGTAGAGTGATTAACTGATTTAATTTCAACATTGTTGTGTCTCAGGGAATAGAGAGGCCTGAGGAGAGGGAGAGAGATGAGGGGGAGGGGGGGACTGCTGGTTGGTGGAGCAGTCAGAACACACACAACCTTTATCAGTTAAGTTCGCTGTCTCATATGGGTGTGATTTGTAGCACCCCCTCCCCAAATTACAATAGTAACATTAAAGATCGCTGATCACAGACCACCATAACAAATATAATAATAAGGAAAAGTCTGAAATACTGCAAGAATTAACAAAATGTGACACAGAGATATGAAGTGAGTAATACTGCTGAAAAAATGTTGCCAATAGACCTGCTGGATACAGGGTTGCCATAAACCTTCAGTTTGTAAAAAATGCAATATCTGCAATAAAATGAGGTATGCGTATACATTTATTTTGCTTCTTTAATCCATAAACTCTTTAATAACAAACACTGCTTTTTAAAATTTATCCCAAATATGTAATGCATTTCAATGTACTCTGGGTATAAAGAAAATACAGGACTGATCATTTATGTGAAAAAGAAACAAACAAACTATAAGTTCAATTTTTATCCCTTTTATTCATCAGAGACACAAATTACAGAACCAAGCTTGGCTTAATAACAGTAGCATATAAAAATGTTGACCTGATAACGCCAAAAATCTATTGTGGCAGATTCAGAGTTAATCAGAAGACTGAGAAAAAAAGGAGAAAACTCAGACATTTTGCTTGTTATTATTTGTTCACTGCTATCTCAAGAACATATAATTTCTCTCTGAAAACCCTAAGAGCACATCACATGTAGATCTGGGAAATTGTACAGGCCAAAGAAGCTTTTAACCTGGAATTTTACTGTTCCCGTAACAGCAAGCCTCTCTACCTTCTAGAACTGTTTTTAAAAATAAAGCTATTACCTATATTAAATTTTCTATGTTAAAAAAATAGACTTTTGAGGACTTTTTCTATGTGATTAGGTTTTAGACTATTGAACAAAGGAAAATCTCCCTTTAAATAAAATATTTCAGAATAAGAATTTTCTCGTGGCATTTTAAAAAGCCATTACGATAAGACCTCCTCTGTGGCAGAAGTTTTGTAAAATGTCACTTTATTTGACTGGTCCTACCTAATAGTATAAACAGACTTCATAGTAATTGTTCCAAATGTCAGAAGCATGAAATTTCTGTACTTCTCTCCTTATCTCATTATATTTATAATTTTCTTTTAAAAATATATGTATTCACTGTATTTGTCATCTGCCAATGTACATAAGCCCCTAAAGTTCTATGACCATGTCTACATATTTGAAATAAGACATTGCATAGAAATTAGGTGCTAAATGAAATCTACTGATACCTATGACATAAACTCTCAAACTAATTATATTTAGAGACAGCATTATTTTATACAAATTTTGCTGCTTTATTATTTCAGTATCTCAAGATTATTTTCAATAATGACCTAAATATATCTGAGATGAAAAGTAGAGATTATGAAGAAAGAGTTGTATTCTTAGAAGTGGTTCTTAAAGACCTAAGTGCTGGCAACTTCTTCCTTAGCATAAATTCCCTTCTCCTGTACGGTTTACTTCTTTAAGCCATTTAACTTTATTTCTTTAGCTTGAGAATTTTCAAAACAGTTATATATGGAATTTAAGGAAAGAAATGTCATAAAGAACCTAGGGGTAAGACAGGAATAAAGACACAGACCTACTAGAGAATGGACTTGAGGATATGGGGAGGGGGAAGGGTAAGGTGTGACAAAGCGAGAGAGAGGCACGGACACATACACTACCAAACGTAAGGTAGATAGCTAGTGGGAAGCAGCCGCATAGCACAGGGAGATCAGCTCGGTGCTTTGTGACCGCCTGGAGGGGTGGGATAGGGAGGGTGGGAGGGAGGGAGACACAAGAGGGAAGAGATATGGGAACATATGTAGATGTATAACTGATTCACTTTGTTATAAAGCAGAAACTAACACACCATTGTAAAGCAATTATACTCCAATAAAGATGTAAAACAAACAAACAAACAAAAAAAACCAGTTCCCCTTCATCAGAAATGGAAGGCTGACCAATGCATGGTTTAAACTGCTTGTGTCAAACTCTGCTGTCCTTAAAAGCTGTGAGAAGAGCTATTCACTAAAAAGAGCCTAAGAGAGAAACTTTAATCAAAGAAAAATAAGTATTCCTTTCTTTGACTAGCATTTACAGATAGATAGCATCTATCTGTAAGTCTTAGATGTTTATTTGTTTACATTTTTTCCTGAAAGTTAAAAGGAATGCTAATAGACATTGGGAAGAAAACTCCATTATTATCTAATCTGTTAGAAAAGATGATACTAACTCTCACAATATAGTGTATTCTTGGAAATCATGAGTCAGACCGTGTTGAAAGGTCAAATGTGCATTATTACTCCGACATTCACCTGTGGGAACATGCTTGGGATACTCTACACCCAAGTGAGCGTTAGTCTGCTTGCTATTAGGGAGCATCCATGTGTTAGAAAGTAAAATGATGCCAGAGAAGGCTATTGTGTGAGGAAGTACAAACATGCTGAATAATGAGTATGCAAAGGTACAAAGTGCCATGTTTACTTTTTCTAGCTAAAGATTAGTACAATGTAAACAACTACCAGTCCACCAAATTTACACATTTATTGCTACACTGAATTGAACAGAAATAAAAAGTTAAATCAAATTGAACATATGGTCAACTACTATGGATCCCAAATATAAACTGTAAATGATAAAAACCTTTTGTGATGTAAATATCTTATGTGGTATCCTCTAAAATGATTATCTGAATAGACTTCAACTGTAATCCATATAGCACGCACACGACTTAAAAAACAAAAGAAAGAAAGAAAAAAATATATATATATGCAATAAAATTGCTATTTTGTCCTAAATAGCAACTCTGGTTGGGGATTGAAAAACTTCCAGCTCAAGGACCTGAGTTTGGTAAAATAATATGATCTGCAGGTCACTGCATCTGGCCTCTGTTAAATGGGTCTGGAAAATAGAGGAATTCCACAAATGCAAACTATGCATGGCTACCGGATACTACCTGCCTATCAAAACCCTACTTAAAAATATTTAGCAAAAACAGCCCAATAAAAATACAAGGGAATAAAAAATGAAACCAAGGTCATAAGGGCCTGGGTCCTTTTTCATTTTCCATTTTAAAAAATAAGCAATCTTGGAATGCCATGTTTCCTGATTTTCAAAAACAGGAGTTTGTATTTATTTAGGTACCAGAGGGACTGACAGTTTCATGCTTTTTTTAACTCTCATCTTTTCACTAGCAAGTCTAATGAGAACATCACAAAAGCAGAGAATGTTATGAATAGAATGAATGAATCATAGGATCCACCCTATGGACCCCATGACACAGTCATGGCAAATGCTAATTATCTGTACATTGCAAGTCTTATTCCTATGCTCAGGGAACCTCAAAATCTGCACCTGACTTGTGTTTGTGTCCTTTTGGGTTTATGTACCCCACTCTGTTACCCTCAAGGCACAATATAATGCACATAGAGATCTTAATGAAAACCATTAAAAGCAGAGTTTATTCATGAGCTGTAAAAAGTGAAACTGTAGAACTAACAGTGTGAACAGAACACAAATGTCTGTGTTCTCAACCCGCAGCAGGTGCAGAGTGGAGACGGATGAGGGACCACTTACCTCGGGTGTACCAAGAGCATGTTCTCCAGCTAAAAGCAGCATGCTCAGGCCTCCCATCTGAGTAGGATCTAAATAAGTCAAAAACAAGTAAATCGTCAATTCATAACCATGAAGTACATATAATCCAGAGTCGAAAAAGAATACTCACGAAGACTAGCAATCAGAAATCCAACAGAACCACATGTACCTTATTACAGAAAACTTCTGAAACTCTTTATGAAGGAAAAACCCGGGGTACATGTGCTTAGTACTCATACTTTTGTGAGCTTTTTAAATACCACTGTTGTCCACCATTCCAACAAAATACCTTCTTCAATACCACAGCTGTTTATAACATGAATTATCTCCTAATGTGATGCTTCTTTCCTTACTGCATGGGGAGTCTGGATGGATTTTTTTTTTTAAACGAAAGAGTGCTTCTACTTGTCTTCTAAGAAACTTGAGATTGTTATTCTCAAATTGTTATTTCTGCCACATGATATCAGGCTGATAAAAAAGAACAAGGCCATCAGAGGAACTAGAGAACAGGGAGGTATTTTACAAAGGGGACTCCAAAAATCTAGTGGGCTTTGTTCAAATATTCTTTCTTTAAAACTTTCAAAAACAAATTTAAATTAAACAATGATATATTTATAACATCTTAAATCTTAGGGGTACAGTTAGGCCCTTCCTTGAAAGGCCTCGAAATACCTTTAACATTGAAAATGAACCCTTTTTATACTACCAAAGGTCTTTGTTTTCATTCCTTCAATAATCAACAGAAAAAGAAAGAGAAAATGAAAGCAAACTGGTAGATCTATGACCCAGGATTATATCTAAACAGGGGAAGTACAGACAATAAGAAACCTACAGACTTTAAGTTTGTCTTAAATGAATTAAATTTCAGAACTTCAATGAACTAACATATCTGAAACTGTCTAAGTCAGTGCTTATCCCAGTGCATATTGGTCCTCAATAAATGCACTTTTTATTTTAGTAATCTCTCTACAATTCAAAATGAGGACCGGGCATAGTGTTGCCTGAAGACATTAAGGTGTCTTCTCTTTTCTTTCTTTTTTGATTTTTTTCGTTTAAAGATATGCCCTTAAGTACATCTTTGAATACAATCTGTCTCAGGAACTCATGAAGCAACTCTGACCACATCTTACATATAGTCAAATTAAAAAATATATATTTTTTTGAAAAAAGAATCTGAGGGGAAGGAAGGAAGGAAGGGAGGGAGGAAGGAAGGAAGAAAGGAAGGAAGGAAGGAAGGAAGGAACGGCTTAGTAGAGGGGAAAATATGTCACCAAACAATCAGGTGGTCACAAAACACCTCCATATTGGAAGGTAGCCACGCAGGAATACACAGAGGAACATGAGCTGGTTTGCTGAAATAAGGCTCTCTGTTGTTGTTTTAAGAGCCCATCCTTAATTAAATGTTAAGTTTATGAACTATTTTGGCTGCTAAAAGAGACACGTAAATCTACTGGCAAATAAAAATCAGGAGAGAGAAATGAATTTAGCAGAAAGTAAAGGTGTACTTTGGTTCTTTGGGCAGCTAAATACTTTTGCAGCTGCCAGTCTAGAGATCAGGAGTCTTGCATAATTGCATTCTAATAAAGATAAAAATGTGTTAGTGCATAATTGCATTCTAATAAAGATAAAAATGTGTTAGTTCAAATTATAAAGTAAAATAGGAACATACTTCCATGATAATTTATTTAACTTATATACCAATATGACTTTGCTGTATAGACACTAAAACACAGACAAGAAATCATCATCTTTTATATTAATTTATATAATGTTATTTGGATATATCAAAAATATATTTATATAAATAGCTGCTTTCCCTTCACCGAGAGGGCTTCTACTAAATTAAATTCTACATAGCTTTCCCTCCTTGGAAATTATACACTTGACTGCTTTGGGGTTATTCAAAATGCAAAATGTCATGTGACAAGGACTATTGGGAAAACAAAGCAAAATGAGATTCCATGCTGAGGAAAAGCATAAACTGGCCTCTAAAAGCCCTAAAGTATCCCCTAGATTTAAACAGCTAAGCACCATGTTTCAATTAAAGGCAAATTAATTTGCTTTCATTGTGTTAAAAAGGAACATCACACCAATGTTATCGCTATACACTAGCTTAACAAGGGCTCTGATCATGGATTTCCAACATCTGTCACAGGCCCTTATATATAATGAGATAAATGTGAGAAAGTTGTTGTCCTTCTTTCCTGTATTTTGCTTAAAGAATGCTGTTTTTAAAAGCTGACTTGTAGGGGCTTCCCTGGTGACACAGTGGTTAAGAATCCGCCTGCCAATGTAGGGGACACGGGTTCGATCTCTGGTCCGGGAAGATCCCACATGCTGCAGAGCAACTAAGCCCGTGCACCACAACTACTGAGCCTGCGCTCTAGAGCCCCGTGAGCCACAACTACCGAGCCCACGAGCCGCAACTACTGAAGCCCGCGTGCCCAGAGCCAGTGCTCTGCAACAAGAGAAGCCACCACAATGAGGAGCCCGCGCACCGCAACGAAGAGTAGACCCTGCTCGCCACAACTAGAAGAAAGCCCACGTCCAGCAACGAAGACCCAACACAGCCAAAAATAAATAATTAAATAAATAAATTTTAAAAAATAAAAAATAAAAGCTGACTTGTAAATATCCTGGTTGAAGTCTAGGTCCCACTTTAAATTTGTAGGTATAACAGGTAGATTAATAAACTGTCAGAAACGGTGCTACAGGCAGACATCTTTCACTGCTTTCTGTAGTTTATCTACAATTACTTTTGGTTTTTGAAGAGCCACTGTGTGCAAAAAAAAAAAAAAAAAACCTACATAGACCAATCTAGATTTAGAGCTGGGAGAAAAAGCAATGGAAGATAAATGCTAATCAAAGGAATTTATTTAGAAGCCAGTAATAATATCCTCTTATTTGGTCCTGATGATAAAATGTTTTATAAGAGACTCTTACTGACACAATCTGGGGAGTCTAGAGAGCTCACCAAGACTACTAGCAAGTGGGTTGAAGCTAAAATTATACAAAGTAACAGCTAAAACAAGGCCAGATTTCTATTCTGATTCCTCTGGAATATGCAAAAGCATCATTTTGGAAGCTCACCTAGAATTATACTACAGACACTTACATAACAATCACCTGAAGACTTTGTTCCCCCAGAATGCTGCCATTGCATCAGACTGCATTTCTTAGATTTATATATGACATCACCACACACTTTGTTATACCATGAATCACACACTACACTGTTAAATCTCATTAGGCCTACTGGCTATTAAAAAAATGAAGTGTCATCACAATACTGCTTAACTTCCATTCCCAAGCTTTCCATTTTGCAAACTGTTCAGAGCTCTCATCTTAAAGAAAATTTGCTTGTAATAATGAAACAGGAACCCTATAGCTCAACACCAACTTCAATGCTTCCATCCTGCCCAATCTCCCTATTTCATCCCGGAAAACTCCTCTCTTGATTACGGTATTATAATAGCCATGGAAGATAGAATCATTTGCAGGGTGAATATAAATGCTTTATTTCATGGTAATAAATGCTGTAGCATTCCTTACCACCCAAAGAGTATTAAGGTCTCATAACAAATGGGACCATCTGGAATGTTAAATTTGCCTGGCCCGTAACAGGAATGGGGGCCAGAGAGAGGGTAGGATGGAAATTCCCTCTAAGAAACAGCTGTCAGATCCATCACAGATTTGTGATAGAGTTGTTCATACTCTTGGTTTCGATGTTTAATATCCTCAGATGATCTACATAATTGTGTTTTTTTTGGTATCCAAGATAACTAAGGTGCTTACTGTGAATGAGTTTGTAAGGTGTTTTGTTACATTATAAAATTCCCTGAGCTCCGGACAATCTCCACATTGCTGTCTGCTTTTCCATAATGTCAATGTCAGGAATCCACACATATTTGTAATGACTCAACCACTTGGTCCATACCTCCTTTCTTTAACTATATTATATATACACATTCTATGTATGTTATACTCCAAAGCTTTAAGCTATGCTGCATATTTGCCATTGCTTCCTATTGGTTAAATTTTGCTTTTCTCTCTCTTTCTATTATCTGTTAAAAATACTGCCTAAATGAATTGACCTGTTCTTAAAGAACAGGTGAAATTAGTGTCTAAACTCACCAGCCATCCCAAAGTTAAGCTGAGGCATTTCTTCAGTCTTTGCTTTCTTGGGGCTTGACAAGTCTCTTGAAGAGTCAGATGGGAAGGCCCACAGTTTCTTCCGTGGATTGACAGTGGATGTTGGGGATTTCACAGGCTTGTTTGTGGTAGGACACCATTTGTAGCCAGGATTTGCTTTCATAAATGCATCTTTATACTATAAATAAAAAACAGATAACATATTTTAATTAACACATAGATTGAAAAAGTACCTTCACCTTACTCCCCTATTTAGATAATGAATGAAAAAAACACTTTCAGTAAGTTCTTTCCTTGTAGAAGAATGACAATCTCAGTACAGGGCTTTAGAGCTAGGACATGAATTTATCTGCTAGAAAGTTCATTTGTGGGATGAGGGTTCAAGGCAACACATTTTGTATCTTTTAATCCTCTTCTTTTTTTTTTAGGATCCAAAAAGTTACCTGACCTTGGTAAAGAAAGGGAGTTATTCATAATGTGGTGTGTAAAGCAGCACCTATTTCAAAGTAGGTATCAAGTACCTTACAAAATGTGAGTCAGTCCCAGGGCCAGTAACTAGATTCTGCTCACTGCTTAATTTACTAAGTATGTTAAAAATTAAATCTGTGCTTTACTGTACAAGCAAATGCAGGGACACCTAACAGAGCAAAGTAATCAGCTGTGGGATAAAAGCACCAAGATCACGAATGGGAGAAGGGGAACAAAGTAGGGCAAACTGATGCAGAACGTTTTAGTTCTTTGAAGATGCAAGGCCATGTAGAAGAAAGAGTACTGGATGCAGAGTCTGATGACCTGGGTTCAAAACCCACCTCTGCTTAATGTGGACATTAAGCAAATTATACAACCTTTCTCAGACTCAATTCTTCCATCTAAAAAGTGTAGCTGCACCTGGTAACATCCCAGGGTTTTGTAATGAGCACATGTGATCTCAAAAGTGAACATGCTGAGAGCTGTGATGTGTGATGTTGCAGATTAATCCATCACAAACTGTATGTCTTTATTTGGAGGTTTCAAACTTCACTGTTAATATCTTCCTTTCTCCTTCACTTTTCTGTGGTTTTCTCCCTTTTCCCCAACTTGGCCATTTCTTTCCCTTTCCTGGCGATAATTAAACAAAAATATATTTCTTGCTATTCATGTTATATTACCAATGGTTATGTTATCTGATAAAATGTATTTTTCATGTATTCTTCAATGATTTTGTTATATTACTGCTAGATACCTTATTTAATTAATACAATTCTTTCAATCCCCTAAACTTGCTTTTTAAAATGGTCACTCTGTGTGTAAAATTAATTTAGTGTAAGCTCAAAAGTTTATGAGTTTATCTAACTCATTAAAGAAAAAAAGGTTTATTTAATGAGCTTATCTAACTCATTAAAGAAAAAAAAGGTTCCTTTACCCTTAGTGTAAGAAAAGTATATGTAATCCAACTAACAAACTTTTTCCACCACTTCACTTTAAATCATATAAATGAAAATTGTACTGTAAATAATATAATGCAATGTTAGTAGTCAATGGTTTAGAATCACCCTTAATTCAGATTTTCTGAATAATCAATTTTTTTAAACTAAAAGCTGTATATCTGCATATTGATACATAGGTACAGGAGAAAGGAAGGTAAGCGTAAAAAACAGTAAGATACAGTTCTACTTTTCCTACAGAAATAATTAAAATGGGATACAAGGCCAGATGCAAACTAGAATTTACCATCACATAACAGAATAAATTTGGAGGTATCAATGTAATGTAAGAGGTACTCTATCCCAGCACATTCACATGCATGGGGGGATTTACATGTTAAGCTGAGGCAGACAAATAGCCTCGCCTGCTGTCTGGTGATGGAAAGTGACAAATGATAGGGTGAGATGAAAGCAGCAGGCACATGCATCATTATTTTGTCCCAGCAAAATGCACACGAGCTGGTCTGTCAGATGAAAAGTCATTTGGACAAAGGTCACCACTCTATAACGTAACAAAAGACTATCAAACAATTTAACATATTTGTCATAAGAAATTTTAAAAGTTTTGGGTACTTTCGGTGGTTTCTGAAGAAAAAAGTCCCAGGCTTCCCTGGTGGTGCAGTGGTTGAGAGTCTGCCTGCCGATGCAGGGGACACGGGTTCGTGCCCCGGTCCAGGAAGATCCCACATGGTGCGGAGCGGCTGGGCTCGTGAGCCATGGCCGCTGAGCCTGCACGTCTGGAGCCTGTGCTCCACAACAGGAGAGGCCACAACAGTGAGAGGCCCGCGTACCACAAAAAAAAAAAAAAAAAAAAAGTCCCAATTCACAGATGGAACTACACAGATGGATGTCACTAGCCTTCAGATTTCTTCTGTTTCTTAGGTGTCCCCTTCCTCCCCTCCAATGTTGTCGATCTGCTAGGTAAGTTCTTTCCCAGTAAATATTACATCCTTTTCTAAGAATCACTTAGCAATTTGTTTTGATGAAAATCAACATGTGTAATGAAAATGATAATACTGTCATTCTTATGAATGAATTATTACCAGCATCAACTATTTTTAAAAGCACTGATGGTATTAATAAAGGCTAGCTTAAACTAACTTATGATGTGGAGCTGTGCTGAAGATAACATAAAGCAGAGACAATCACTGACCATAAACATCTCTTTCTCTTGCACTTATTCTACCCACCCATCCACATCCATCTCAATACTTTGTGAGGATCGACTAGGTGACAGACACTGGTTAGACACTGGGGACTAGAAGAGCATAAATTAGAGTCTCTGCCTTCAAACTGTTTACAATCCACAATCAGTAATCAAAATGTTACTTCTTCTTATACATGGTCCACGGACTTTCCCCTGGCTCAGGCATGAAAAATGGTTTTGCAGAGGGTCCGTAAAAGGGGAAGCTACCTATGTGTTGAAGAACAAAAGGCAAGAGAAACGCCTGGAGTATGTGAGGTTTTATGGAAAATGGTGACTGAGAATTCACTATGAGAGTCAATGCTCTATAAATGTATTACAATTTTAACCTTGCAGATTCTTAAACTCGATGTAAAACAACATTCATTAGCTCAGTCAAGTATATATTTGAGCAAAAGGGTTAAGAATGTAGGAGACAGAGAAAAGAATAACACACAGCCCTTGTCCTTAGACGGAGATGCCATAAATTCATGAAAAGACATACAGGTCAACACAAGCAGTGTATGAACCCCAAGTGAGGGCGGAGGCAGGAAGAACCCTCAGCGTGTGAGGATGTCTGTCCTTGGAACTGGGCTCATCATCAATCACTTGCTCTGATTCAGCTATAAGAGACAACAGAAAGGCTTAATCATTTGTTGTGATGAGGTTATTAGGAAAGGGATTACAGAGAAAGCTGAGTAAGGGAGAAATGAAAAAAGACTATATATAGTCTGAAGCAAATAGCTGAGTGAAAGTATTAGCAAGCTGGTCAACCATGTGGGCAAAAATCCATCAGCACAGGACTGAAAGGACCAAAGAGACAGGCCCACCCATCCAGATCCCCAAGGCAGGGCTTTCATGCTGGGGGTGGGAGGGGAAGCTCAGTTATCCTCCAAGAACATCAATCACAGGCTACTGGTCCTATCTCCTAGGTAACTAACCTCCTGCTAAAACACTGATTTTTTAAAATCGCCCATTAATATAAAAATTCCTATTTTATTTTTGCAAATTTCCAACTGATTAGATAACCTAAGTGAATTTACCTTATAGGCACAGATCCTGACTTACATAAGATGCTCAGTAAATGCTGGCTCCTTTCTGTCCACCCTCAACTACTACCACATTTCATTAGCAGTGATAATATATCACTGTTATTCAATAATGGTATTAAATACATACCCTTTGCCACAGTATTCTGTCTACTTCATATATGACAATGGCATTACTATATACCAAAAGACAACACTCTATTATGTTAATCTTTAAAAAATTGGGTCTCAACATTACATACTTTTGCAGATCATTTATAAGAATGGGAAATCTGATCTTAAAAAGCACCTTAAGGAGAGATGTACTTATTAACTGTCTTCCAATTGTTTGTTTCTAATTGGAGGGGAGGGGATGTATCAAAAAGTCCAGGAGTATTTCTAGCTATTATTACATTCTAGATCTTCTCAACAGAGTGAAAGAGAATGATAACCCTGGTGAGGTCCAGTAATAAGGGACCCTGGGAATATCTATACAAATAAAGAGAGCTGATTCTGGTGCAAATATGTGAAATATCACCATGATAAAAAAAAATCTACCAGAATTATGAAGGAGAGATTACACAGGAATTATCTGATTTTTAAAGAGCTATAACACACTTTTAAATCTTAGAACTCTGCAGGGGGCTAAGTGAGTCCCTAGCATAATAAATTTTGAGACAGCTAATGAATTTTGAGACAGCTGTACCTTTTCACATTGGCAGGCAGAAATCACATTATACAGGGTGGAAGAGGAGAGGAAGATATTTGAGAAGTGGCATTAATTTGTACTTCCTTAGTTTTAGGAACTTTCCCTCACAAAACTTTAAAACTTCTCATTTAGATCTGAATTATTCTTACTAGATATTTTAATAGGAAGAAAATTAATTAGACTTTTATATGACAGAACATTGAATTAAGTTTACAGTTCCAACAGAACAAAAATATTTCAAATTATACATTAACCTATAAAACTTTCATGTTAAAGCCACTCCAGTAAAAACTATACACTTCAAAAAGTGACTTGAATAAGTGACCAGGGAATTGTTTGGTTCTCTTGTAGAAAAGTCATAAAGGAAAAACTGAGTTGGCTACAGATACAGTTGCCTAAATTGCCTATAAGGATTACTGTGGCAACGGCAGTTCATTTCAACATACAAAGTTTTTTAAAGGACAATTTTACTCCCTAATTTGGGTAAGGAGGAGAAAGTCAGTTTAATCAGTTAGCACTATTTAAAAAGTACCAAAATCTCAGAATTTCTTTTAAAATGTAATTTTGGTACATTTTAAAAGGTAGATAGGGATCTGGGTAAGAAAACTATCTACATTTCTGAAAATGTATGAATAGATAATTCATGTTAACTAATTTGAATTGTAAAATGTTTTCTTTAAAAAATATGTTCGCTTAGCTTTAGTAATTTCCTTAAACACTTTAAACCTTTTCTTTAAAAAATAGTTTATGACATGAATTTGCAATATTTCAAACGGTACAAAAGTTAATTTTTAC